AAAACCCCAAAACCCCAAAACCCCAAAACCCCAAAACCCCAAAACCCCATTAATACACTTTATAATTGTTAAATATAATTAAATATGAAGAGTAACTTTTGGAATAAACCTCTCAAATTAAAACCTATGAATGCATCTTGGAAGCTCAAGAAGGACACTACTACTGCGGTTAATGAAAAAAATCTTAAGACTCTAAGATCAATGAATTCAAGTCCTACTTTTTCTAAAGAAGCGATAAACACTAAGTTGAATTCAGTGATTGCCCAAGCAGGCTATAATGGAAAAGCGATATCGTACAACGCTGCTCAAAGTGACAGCGCAGATGGTTATTATCTCCCAGAACAGAAAGAACAAGACCAAGGCAAGAAGACTTTAGTTCTCGATCTAGATGAAACTCTTGTTCATTCTTCATTTAAACCAATCTTAGGAGCAGACATAATACTGACAATCGAGATAGAAAATATTCGTTCTACTGTATATGTACTTGTCCGACCTGGAGCTTGCGAACTTTTGGAATAAAAATGGCTGAGCACTTTGAAATAGTCATATTCACTGCCTCTTTATCGCAGTATGCAAAACCCTTGATAAAAAAACTTGATAGGAAAGGGATAGGATTCCACCAGTTATACCGGGAACACTGAACTTTTCATAAATCAACGTATTTTGTAAAAGATTTATCAAAGTTGGGAAGAAAGCTGAAGGACATAATCATAGTAGATAATTCACCCTCTGCTTATCTTTTCCACCCAGAAAATGCAATTCCAATTCTATCATGGTATTCTAATAAATCAGATAGTGAGTTGTATAAGTTAATGTCAGTGTTAAAAACACTAGCTACAGTTCGAGATGTCACAGAGGAATCTCTATTGAACTGGGATCAAAAAGATGCTTATCTAAATTACTCAAAAATGCGTATAGGGAAATAAGAAAGGATCCAATACTCCTCGATACACTTTCTTCAACTCTTGTTCTCCACAAAGGGCTTCCTCAAAAACCTTGAAAAATCCGAATAAAATCCCTGAAAAGCCTCAAAAGGAGCATAAAACTCCTAAGGCCTCTTTCAAAAAAAAGTTTTCGCAGACAACTAGGCTAGCAACTAACCACAGAGGGAGATCTTCACATTTCTCAAGTTTGGCTAAAGGGCAGAATTCCCTTCGCATAAGCCGTCAAACTTCATGAGGATCCCGTATGACAATGAATAAAAAGAAATTATTTAAAGATCCTCTTAAGTATTCTCATTTGTACACACCAAAAGGATCCATGGGACAAGGTGGATTTGTACGATGATTTAAGGATGTTACAAGAGAGAACAAGAGTCGAAGAGATTTTAAAGCAAAAATAGAAACATCAGGCAAGGGAGGATCTAGGGCTAGGTGTAAGAGAATTGACACTATAAATGGTATCAAAACAACAAATAATTCACCTAAAGCACCGACTTTCGGCGTAAGGAATATGACAAAGAAAGAAATGAATGCAAAAGAAGGTAATCTTATATCTATTTACTTCCCTAAACCAAACCCATCACATACTTAACCACTCCCTCCAAAACCCTTTAATTTAACAACTCCCTAGCTCAAACCTTCCCTTTCTCCACCACATCCCCCTTCACCATCTCCTCCAACCCTCCTCTCCAAGTAAGCCCCCTTCTCACCCTCCAGAAATCCCACCTACACATCAGTACAAACTACTATCCCTCTGCTTATCTCCAAGGAAGAAACTCTCAATGCTAAATTATCCCATATAATTTCCTTAAAATTTGAGCTGTTCAGCTGGATTTGGGAGGAATGGGGTTTTGGGGTTTTGGGGTTTTGGGGTTTTGGGG